ATGCCAGCTATCCCTGTGTATAATATAAGTGCAATTCAAAAGTATAATTCTGAAATATCAGATAGTACACATAAGATAACTATATCTGAAATAGGTAGTACACTAAATTTGAAATCTGATTTTGTTGAAGATCCGTCTACATTTTTTCTAAAAGAAAAAAGTCCTACTATATTGACCAAATCATTGGCTATAAATTCATCATCATCATCAGAAGACTCTAATACTTCCGATATTGAAAATGTAAAATCCATAAAAAAAAAGTATACAACTTTATACAAGAAAGAACCATGGATTACAAAACGTTTATATGATTTTTTGATACGTAAATTAGAAAAAAAATATAACATATATTCAGTGAAGTATGCTGAAAAGTTTTTAATATATTTATCATCGATTTTGAAAGCTATGCGATCTGATGAAGATGCAAATTTACAAATGTACACTGATATGATCAGACATTACATGGCAAAACATCATATCATTGTAAATAATTTTGATTATTTTGAATTCATTACTGATTACATTCCAAAACCATTTTATAGCAAATTATTACCTACTTGGGATTTAACCATTTCTCCAGTTTTATTTGATCCGAGAAAAGTATATGATCCTATTATGGAAGATGATGAATTTTTAAATCAATTTTATTAATTTAATATGTTGTTTTATCATTATTTATTTTTGTATTATATATATTTAAAAAATGTTATAATTTAATATATATTTATACATATTATATACATTTAATATTATATTATATTTATTTAAATATCAATTATATTATTGTTTACATCAATTAGAATTCTAATTTATAAAATTACTATTAATTCTAATACACTGGAATTTACTTATCTTATGTTTTACTTGTTAATTTTAAAACTAAATTGAGAATTCATCAAATTGTAGTATTAATACATAAGAATAAATATAAAATTTTGTAAAATGTTATTATTAATTAACAATACTGAAAACACCTTTATTAATTCCTGTTTTGAACATATTATTGTTAACTTATATGATTTAACGAATATTTTTCTTGGTATCACATTTTTCATATATTAGTCAATAAAAAATTTTTAATATGACACTATAAAAAAATAGGACCCATGCATTCTGAATATTTAATTTTAACATAAAACTATGATTTTTAGCTTGAATGCCTTCTAACTCCTAGATTGTGGGTGATTTGTATATTATATTAAAAGTACATTGTGTGCTCCTAATTTGATGTAGGATTACAGAAATCATACTTTTTAATTTTAATCAAAATTGAAAAGAAAAAAAAAATTGAAAAAACCCAGATCAGGGGGGTCGCGGCACAGTAGTAACGTGGCATAATTGGATCAAGTATAATGATATCTAACAGTGATTAAAATCACNAATGATATCTGACAGTGATTAAAATCACTATAAAAAAAAAACGCTTCGATGCAAATCTTTAGATAGTGTTTAAATTTAAAAAATTGGTGGATTATTCCAAAAGCCACATGATCTGCTAGTTCCTTATTAATATCTTGATTAATATAAAGTATATTGAATGAAAAAGGGACTATTAAAAAATATTATTTCTCATAAAATAATTATGTTGATCCATACACTTTTCAATAAATTATAGCATTATAAAGTTAAAAACGTAAAATACAAAATCGAAAATTTTCACACAAAAATATCATTTGGTAGCCATTTTCACCGTGAAGATAAAAAATAAAATTTTTTTTTTCCATAATAAAGTACATTACATTAGCTTTAATTTAATATATATATAAAAGTGTCAGACTTTCCGGAACATTTTCAAATGTCAAGTTGAAAAAATTAATTTTTTGTGAAAAAGTTGTCATTTTAAATCCCCCCTCTGTGGGCAGGAAAAAAGTCAGATTTATAAAAAAAATATACCAAATGATAGATAAAGACATCATGCATCTATAAAAAATAGAATTATGTTGATTCGGTTATTTTTAAAAATGTTATGGCAATTTGAAGTAAAAAAAATTTCGAAAATCAGCGTTTTTTAAATATGTAATTTTTTTGGAGGTTTCCCCCATTTACGGGGAAAGAGGAAAGTTTTTTCAATTTTGAGGATAATGTCTTCGACTAGATACGATTTGTGATCTTTTGACGTATTATTGGAAGAAATCGGTTCGGTGAGAACTGAGAAAAAGTAGTAACAGACACANTCGGTGAGAGCTGAGAAAAAGTAGTAACAGACACAAAAAAAAAATAAACACATCTTAGTAAAACCAATACCTTCTCAGTTTCTCATCGAAGCTAAAAATTTTGATATAATTTTAAGCCTTCACAGTAACCTACATTGATTTATAATTGGATTTTCAAGAATAATATGTCGCGACATATTATTCTGACGACGACATGTTGTCAGCAAGACAAATATTTGAAGTATTATTAATAAAAATTTCACAATAACCATTTTAGTTTTCAAAAAAATATTTTCATATAAAATGAAAACTAAAAATATCAACATTAACTATTTTACGACTAATTTTTTGGACTTTTCCCATTACGGAAATTAAGGAAAAGTTTTTCAAAATCATGACATTGAAAACTTCAACTAGAGACGTTTTGTGATTTTTTAACGGACGTCGAGTAAAGTAATTGTGTACACTAATATACAAAAAAAAATAACTACAGAGTAAAATTAATAGCTTTTTAACGATGCATAGTAGGGGTCACCATTTAAGAAAATTAAAGTTGAGGATTTTTTATCCCTGAGTGGATAGATAAAAAATTGATTAACTATAAATTGTAAAATTATATTATCTTACTAAAATTTGTAATTTTTAATAATTTCTGAGAGAAAGAGTATACTTCTATTATTATTATATATATTATCTCAATTACTATTAAGGATAAAACATGACTTATCCTTAACAAATTTATGTACACTAATACATTTTTATTATGTCTAATTTATTATGTAAATCTCAACAAGGTTTTTCTTATAGGTTTATACATGTATACCTACTACGTTTTTACATAACTAATTTAAGGTATATATTTTGTAGAATATAGGTATCAGTTCTACTGTGGTCTCAATTGTTTTTGAATCAGATAGAAAGTACAACATTTAATACATACATATATATATATATATA